TGTCATTTCAGGAACGATCATTTTCATGTTCCAGTTCATTGCTCCTCTCACCGTTATCACATTTTGTTACGTGATGATCTCGCTCAAACTCAACAAGGTGAGTGCAGTTGACTGATATTAAGTCATTCGGTCTCGTTAGAGGAATTTTCTTTTGTGCTTATTCGTATTGATATGCGCGATCAGTTCATTGGGGCTTTTGCCTAAACGTTCCGATCCTGCTCCAGCAATAAACCAATTTTGTGTTTTGTTCGTTAGTGAATTGATGTTCACAAAAGTTTCGCTCGTTCAGCAGCTCATTCCTATTTGCAACGTTGCCCTCCATCACCAACAAAAATGCATCGTAAAGAATATTCTAAATTTGCCACGATAATCTCAGCATTGCATGTTATAAATGATGTCTGTCACTTCATAAAATAACATCGAAAGCGAGAGTATCATCCGAATCATGTAACAAACAATGGTCGGAGTTTGCTCCACAAACCACGATTCCTATCCGAAAGTACCGTAATGTTTCTCAGTGACAGTATGGCTGTCACTGCGCTAATTGCAAGAAGAAGAAGAATATCGACGGGAAATACATTTGAAAATTTGTGAAATAAGCTGTAAACACAATTTATTTGATTTTCAGTCCAAAAAATGTCAACCTCTTCAGCTTAATATTGCGCTTTTTGAGGTGATAAAAATTCATTTTCAAAATTCAGTTTCTTGTTGCCACATACGGTGGCTCGAAATAGCTCACATTTGTTCAAACCCCTCTTACATAGAATCTCGTCTTTTCCATACCGTTCTTCGCTTAGAGGTATATTAAAGGCGTTGCTTTTTAGGCAAACAATCAGGAATAAATTTTATACTTTTCTGAAAGTCGAGCACATTGTTGGAAGACTCGTCACTATTTTTCTCGGTCGAAAATGCATCAGACTAAATTTTCAAACAATATTCGGTCTAAGTGACACTATTTTTTGGTCTAATATACGCTTGTTGAAGTGATAAAAATTCATCGTAAATTAGTTTCATTCGAACTACGTATATTCCAAGAAATTCACAGGTGCAGCTAGCTAATTGCTCGGAAAGATATCTGTGTCGTAATCACCTTATTTTCACCGTAGCGAACTTAAACTTCATCCAGTGATCCTTTAATCCAGCACAGACAATGCTTTATATTTTTGTTTGTTTGACATCGTGGCAAATCCTAATGCCCTTTCATTCTGAACACTACGCATAACAGAATGAAATGGTATTTAAAGGAGAAATTGAGTCCACTTTTGAACCCTTAACGATGACCAAATATGGAAAATTAAGTGGGCCTTTTTAAGGTTGCAGGCGGAACCATCGAGATTTCAGTTTATTGTTTACATGAAATGATGCACAGGTGCTGCTGGCGAGTTGAAAAAGGAGCCGCTTCCCGATATAAGTTTCGAATTGAAACACTGAACCCTAAACTTATCCAGGCATTGAAAACGATTTCTCGGGTTGAGCTCTGCCTCAAGCTTATTGTTAGTGAGAAATTCAACAGGGTGCGTTCCCTGAATAATCTTGTGGACGTGAAGTGAGAGTCTTGTATGAAATCCAAACTAGAGCGTTAAAAATTAGATGGATTTCACTCCTCTATGCAGCTGAACTGAAGGATGCATAGCATTTGTATGCTCCATTATGATGTTGCTTAGATGCTCTAAAAACATTGTTTAGGTATGTTTTAGTGTTTGGAATGTAATTGCTTACATCATTTTCTTTTCTTTACGTCAGCTGAAATATTTCGATGGATTCTCACAGATCATATCAAGGTAGTGAGTAGTTGGGGATAGTCCTCACTTTGCGGAATACATGAATGTATTTCTCAAAGTGAACGTATGTATGAATTCAAATAGAACAGTGGCCAAAAGTAAGAACAGAATGATCTGACGAATTCAGTTGCCGTAACAAATTGTACTTATATACTGCAGGTCTGCGGTTTTCATGACGGACTTTTGCATTTTTTCGGAATATGATTTTTTACTCATTGGGTCGAAATTTCGAACCGAAACGTTTGAAATCGCCGAAATCAGATCTCAACGGCATTTGTTCACCACAAACTTCATTACTGAATGAACATTTTCTTCCAAACTTTTATGGCAGTAATGTATATTTCAGGTTGTTAATGAAAAAATGAAGAATTAGCCCACTCTTTTGTTACAACTTTTATCACTTCAACGTAAAGCTGACTGTTCTTATGAAGTTTTAAAAGCGTTTAGTCAACCTGTATCATCTATTCAACGAAATGCGATGTTGTGTTCATTGAGTGAAGTTTGAAAATGAAGTTTGAAAGTTTGAAAATTGCTGATGGGTGGACGCAACCCAATTTGACAGGAGAGGAATTTAAGGGTCTTTTGGTAAAACAAATACCAAAACACACGACGGGCGTTGCGACTGAGCAACGTCGCGCAGCATTAAAACGTCGCTTACGAACAAATCGAATGTTGATCGCTATGGTTGGCTTGTTCTTGTGTTGCTGGATGCCTACTGTCGCATTCAATTTCCTCAGAGATTACAGATGGTTACCATTGTTTGTGGCTAATCAGGAATATCTTTTCGGAATCATAACACACTGTATCTCGATGAGGTTTGTCTCTTATTCGTACCATTTCCAAACTTCAATTTCAAGCACGATCATTCCGACTGATTATATCTGTTTCATAGTTTCAAATGCTTCAATGCAAAAGAAAAGAGAAACTTCGCCTTAGCTCATACAGTTAAGTAACATATCCTTTATAATACATCAAACGTTTTCAGTGCTTGCACTCTTTATCTTTATAAGTGTTTCATGACTTGACATATTGTCGGAAGGATCTTTACAATATACTGAATAATACAGTGTGTTCATATAAA